AGGTTGTGGTGTACAAATGGTTAAACTGGGATGTCTCCTCCTAAACCCATCCAACCACGCCCGCCCGGCTGAATCACCAGTAAAGGGATGTTTCTTTCCTGTTCTTTCTGCAATAACAAAAGCTAGCCTCATTACGGTGTCCCTTGTAATCCCGTAGCCCATGTCTGCCATATTTATTAGGTATTCATACAACTGATCTTCTTCTTATTTAGAAAGAACGGTGGGTGGGCCCGGTTTACATTCGACTGGTACAAGACCTTTGACTCTCCGGCCTTCTCAGAGTTTCTACAGGCACATTATAACACCTTGCAGCCTCCCTCAATCCCATTGCGTCTGATTCAACAGAAGCCACTGCCTGTTCCATTGCTTGCTGCGACCAATACTTTCTCTTGCAAGCCATTGACTATTAAAATGGAAAATAATAGCCAGCACAAATATAAACATGGTAATTTACCGATAATTTGTTAAAATTAGAGGTGATTATTGACAAGAGATCAAGGTGCCAATAAGATAAAACAAGTGAGGCTGAAAAAATGGAGGTTACCTGCCACGGCCACGTGCCCAGTTCTATTTTTAGGTAGATAATAAATTATGGGTGTGTTCAATCTACCAAGTTAATTAATTTATTATTATTTATTTTTATTTACAAAAAACGTGAAAGCAAGAAGCCCATCTTTTCAAAAAAGAACCACTACAACAGCAACCTTCATTAGTATACTCTATACAGAGTTAATCTCAGTAATCTTCAAATTTATGGGTGTGGCTAATAAAATGGCGCTTGGAGCATGCAGGCAACTTTAAGACTTATATCTCCACTCTGAGGATCATGTAGTGCGAGAAACAAGCAGAAGCAGACGGGAATATGTTCTTCTAATGGTTGGCTCTTTCTTATTTGCAGCTTTCTGACTTTGAATCAGTATAAGGACGCAAGAATGGCTACTTGGTGCTAATAACCATGCTATGTAAACTTACGCGCTGTGCTATCACAGAATATAGGCGGGTTAGACAGTATAGACACTCTCCCTAAATAATTATCCACTCTTGCTACCGCCTATATAATAAGACACACTACACTAACCTTGTATCATAAATTTTGCTGTATTGCTGAATACTCTTTCACGAGGTTCATAAGTAACAGCCAGACATTTTACTTTAGTATTATTATTATCATCGTATGCTACTGCTTGTAGCTCTGCTCTTGTGATACCACTACTATCGTTTGTTGTTGCACTAAATCTAAATCCTTTTTTTTTAACATCGTAACTAGAAGCTTGTTCATCATTAACTCGGACAGTAAGTTCATCACCAGCTCCTTCACAAGAGAAGACAACAGTAGAGTTGAGTGTTGTATTAATAGACACTGGCTGAACCGTTATATCTATAAGAAAATTAATGTTAAGTGTAGCATACTGAAACTCACTAGCACTAGCACAATCAGACAACTGGCGATAAAGAGTGGCAATGAAAAACAAAGCACTTATAGGTCTAGTTACAGAAAGGCAAACCATATTGATGTGAATCGTACTCCTGATGTATAGGTCTATCTGGGTGTCTGCATTCACTGGAATGGATTACTGGAATGGACTACTGGAATGGAATGCTGGACTTCATTTCCATTCAATTACAATGATTGCTTGTCTTATTCATTATTATTATTATTATTATTATTATACCACGCCCATAATTGCACAACGTGTACACGTGTACGTGTGACTGAGCTGCATGCGCGTGGCTTTCGTTCTTTTTCAGTGACACTGAGTCCCTCGGTTTTGCTATTACTCTGGCTTGGCTACTCTTCTATAATGGTCGAGGTAAGATTATAAACAACTATCGTGTTACTTTGAGTCTTAATAGGGATCAACGAAGGACTTGCCTATCGTTATTGATTCAGATTCTGAAGTATCCCCAGCGCGAGATGCAAACTATAATCCTCACTGTGATGAGGAACAACAGTCTGATGTAGGTCTGTCCAATTTCATAGAACCAGTCCAACTAGATGGCTCACCGTTAAAAGTTTTATCATCACACAATTACAG